AATTCAATTATTTATTTGCGTACATGTTTAATAATTAATATTCAATTAAATATATATTGAAAAATGAAAGGTAGGGTACTATTGAAATAATTAAATTATAGTATGATTAAAATCGTTCAAAAAATAATTCTCACTTGATGGGATATTTAAGATATTATTATAGATGAATATTTGGCATCACCAATTGTGCGGAGCGATGTTATCTGAGGCAGGGCATAATCATTATTTCAACTCTTTTTGTCCTCAAATCTTTTCAAAATGTTATTTCTTTACACCTCAACCTTTTCTTTAGTACATAACATACCAACTTTTTAAAAATGTAGCAAATCTCGTCCCTTCGTCCATTTTGACCGTTGAAAGCAACGTAAAATGAAAAAGTTACCCCTCTTTAAAAAAAAAAAAAAAACCAACTACATAAGAAAATAAAAAAATTGCAGCAATAATCCTAAATATTTTCAAAATGAATAAATAAATTTTCTTCTCCAACTACCCTCATTTCCCAAACCTATCCACCCCAATTGTCTATTTCCCTACTCAAACCGTTAACAGTCCGTTACAACCACCACTACTCCGAACACGTGATTTACGATCCAGATTTTCTTTTGGCCCTTGGATTGATTAAAATCTGTCGGCAAGACGGTGACTTGAACTCTTGTACAGTAGAGAATAGTAATAGGTATCATATACTACCTATTTCTCGAAAAAAAGTCATAACTATTACTTCATTCCCACTTTTGCTTTAAAAAAAGTAGTTTATTGACTTTTCTTGCAGTAATTAATTTGGATATTTGATTTCATGGACCATGTAATGTAAGAGCAACATGATGCCACGTTTTGAAGATCATTATTGTTCGGAAAACTGAAGGGCCCAAGGCTTATATCGACTGAATTTTGATGTTGAATTTATCTAATTCGTTATTAATGAAATCTAACTTGTTAGGTGGTCATCGACATCTCAATTTCAGGGTCGACGCGTATAAACCAAATTGTGCGATTTTTTTTTAACGTAGGAACCCGCAGCTGCTACCTCTCAGCGGAGTCCCGACCACTGTGAGTGCGCATTAGGTAAACTCCGCTCCATGTGCAGTAACCTGCAAACCACACAGAATTTGTAAACCGCACTTGGCAAGCCCGGTGCGACGGACTCGATCGATGAAGTGTTGACAAAGATTCGAACTCGTAACCCGTGGTCTGTGCATCTACCTGCTCCATCAACTCGGCTACCCACGAAGGGGCTAACCAAATTGTGTAATTTTATCGTGACTTCAAGTTGTCAAAGACAATTAGATTGAGGGTGACGTCTCTCAAGCTAGGCAAATATCTCGACGTTGACAATGCTGATAAAATTAAATAAAAATATAACTATAATTAATCAAAACAACGAAAAAACATATTCTTAATCATGTCTCAATTGTAGAGCAAACCAAGAAGTAAATTTATTACAAACCCACATTAGACACAGTAATATCCCTATACCATATTTCTTACTCACATGCTCATGCTCTAGTCTGCTGCCACTTTACATAATAAGAACAATACTTATTTATTGGAATATTATTTAAAGCATACCACAAGACAATAGAAAATTAAGACAATATTTTTAATTAAATAATTAAAACAAGTGGTGCTTCTTCTTTCCCTCTCCCTCTGCCCTTTCCTCTTCATCCTTGGCCTACTCATAATCATCAGATGATTTTCCATAACCACCAGATGATTTTCCATAATCACCACTGCCAACGTTTGTGTTGTATCCGCCACCAGCAGTCTCGGTATTATATCGGCCACTGCCAGCGGTTGTATTGTAGTCGTCACCTGTGGTATCTGTGTTGTAGCGGCCACCACCAGCGGTGGTGTTGTAGTCGCCTCCACCAGTTGATTTTTCATAAGCACCACCACCAACGGTTGAGTTGTATCCACTACGGCCAGCGGTTGTATTGTAGTCGTCACCAGCGGTATCTGTGTTGTAACGGCCACCGCCAGCAGTGGTGTTGTAGTCGCCTCCACCAGTTGATTTTTCATAATCACCACTGCCAAAGGTTCGGCCAGCGGTTGTATTGTAGTCGTCACCAGCAGTATCTGTGTTGTAGTGGCCACCACCAGCAGTGGTGTTGTAGTCGCCTCCACCAGTTGAATAACCGCCACCAGTTGATTTTTCATAATCACCACCGCCAACGGTTGAGTTGTATCCACCACGGCCAGCCGTTGTATTGTAGTCGTCACCAGCAGTATCTGTGTTGTGGCGGCCACCACCAGCAGTGGTGTTATAGTCGCCTCCACCAGTTGAATAACCACCACCAGTTGATTTTTCATAACCACCATCGCCGACGGTTGTATAGTATTTGCCACCAGAAGTCTCGGAATTATATCGGCCACCGCCAGCGGTTGTATTGTAGTCGTCACCAGCAGTATCTGTATTGTAGCGGCCACCACCAGTAGTGGTATTATAGTCACCACCACCACCGGTTTTGTTGTAGCTATCACCAGTCACATCAGAGCCATAGGTATTCTCAGAGTACTTCTTCTCCTCCTTGTCGTCCTTGTGGCGGTGGAAGAAGTGGTGGTGCTTCTTCTCTTCAGCCATTTTTCTATTAATGATAATGAAAATAACAAGTGAAGAATGATTCAGAGGTGTATAATTGGATGGAGGGTGTGCATGCTATTTATAAAGTTTGATTGCGTGGACATGGAACAGTTGAGATGCATAAATGGAGCAATATTTATTAGACGGTTAGGATATTCGTTACAATCTAAGTTTCAGTCTTGTAGAATGACACGTGGCCGAATTCACCTGCACAGTACCGCACAGATTAATTACCGATCTATGTCGGCAGCAGGAAATAATCATATTTTCCACTCAATTTTCCAAAAGATAAAACATAAAAATTAGAAGAGACATAGATAGAAAGAATTAAGTTTTGCCCACTCATTTTCAATATCGAAATATAAATCAACATATAAGAGTGGTACTTTTTTTTATTTAATTATGTTGATTTTAAGGGCCAGTCTGGGAGCATTAAAAATCAGCAGAATTGTGATTTTTGACCGTTTATTTTCAAATGGTGGGCCCCTTGTGACTTAACAAAGTAAAAAATTGTGGGCTTTTCACTGTAGCAACGGTACAAAAATTGATTTTAATTTCGCCCAAACACGCCCTAAGATTCGAAGATGACAACGAAATGGGCCGCGTCACTCAATCTTGTCCCTCTTCACATTTGGGTTTTTTTTTCCATCCCTTGCACTGCCCCCTATCCCTCCATGAGGACGGACGGGGTGCATGCCCCGGGAATCTCCAACCCGTTTGGAGTGGAGTCCTGTGTGTATCAGATTCAACGATTTTTTATCATTCTTATTAAGATCGAATTTCAAATTTTAATATGGTATCATATATCATTAAATTAAAATGAGCAATTTGATCAATAAGACTCAAAAAGAATCCACGTATTTCAAAATTAACGTTTTCAAACAAGCCATCATCTTTTGTGTGTGTATGTTGATGAATAAATCTTTTAAGGTAAAGTATAAAAATATAAAGACTTGTATTGCTCTTCTTTAAAATGTTAACTTTTAAGATCGGGACTCCATGACTAAGCGTGTTCAAAAAGTGATTATAAATTTTTAAATTAGAAATTAATAGAAATAAGTAGTGAATAAATGAGTGTATATATATGTGTATATATATGTATGTATGTATATATGTATATATATGTATGTATGTATCAAAATATATGAATAAAAATTGAAAAGTGACTTGAGTACTTATAAATATAATACAAACAAATACTCCTAATATTAAATATATGTTTGGTGGAGATTATAATTAGATTTTTAGTAAATTGTGATTGAAAATTTTAAAATGTTTGGTTGAAAAGTTGTGGGACCCATGAAAAATGTAGTTAATATTGATTGTTTTACTTTGACTTAAATTAAAATATGATTTTAATTCGTACCAAACAAGGCCTAAAACTTCATTACGAAAACATGAAAAATTAATATCTATAAGCTTCACTATCAGCCATTCTCATGGTTTTCATTTGGTTGGCTTTTAAAATTTTATAGAATGCAGAGACATGTTAAAGCTGTTACAACAGACCAATCGAACGACTATTCTATCTTTTTCATTCTATTTTTTAATCTTTGTAACATAATAAAAATAAAAATTTATCGAGTTACACTCTTGTGTAGTTTGAATGAAATCGAAATAATTCCTTCATTGATATTCTACTCTATTAGTATGAAATCTCAACAAGCGATAAAAAAAAAGGTGGAGATGTGAATGTAATAATAAGAAAACGGCAATATAATTACCCCTTAACTTAATGCAAGGGTAACATTGTCAATTTGGGACCCATACTAGCTGCAACATTTAATTTTCCTTTTCAATGCCCTTTCAAAAATGCTTAGAAAGAAAGGAAGAAAAGAAAAAAACGAAAATCTGTCGGCAAGATTTTTGCATAGCAATAGGAATCACTCCGCGTAAATTCAGAATGAATAATACATCGCCACTGATGTTAAGTACCAGTTTAGGTGACAACACATAATATATTCAATTAAATGAATATCATAACAACACATTTAATTACACTAATTATTCAATGTCACCTACATGTCATATAGACTGATGCTCAGCACTACTGATGATAAATAGTATTATTCATTCAGAATATTCCCTATTGAGAGAGAGAAGAGAGGGATTACCACTTATCCATTATTGCTAAGAAAGTGAAGCTGTTGACTAGGATAATCACAACAAATTAGATCGTTATAGAATGAATCAGGACAAATTGCCTACCAAAAAGACATTAACGGTCCGTTCTATATATATTTTTTGGGAATAGATTTCACGAATAGTGGTTATTTTTGTAAATGTACAAATTTTGAATGATCATTACCTTAGAAAAATACTGCAATAATCACTTTAACAAACTTGAGTTATTGTTGAAATTAACCCTTGGTAAATGACTATCGTCAAATTAACCCTTGGTAAATGATTATCGTCAACTCTGATATAAGTGTTTAATTCTAAACTTCTTTCCATAAAACATAAAATGTAATTTCTAATCGTCTAATAATCTGCGCAAGAGTAAAGCCACTTTGCCCGAATTTGGTGCCACCTTGATTGATCGACCCTCACATTGCACCGTGGGTCTCGCGTGAATTAAATAATGCCACCCCATGTGTGTGTGAGTTCGGTCAACCGATGTGTCATCCAAGATGTTTGTGTAGCATTTCTCTCTGCGTGATATCCACTGACCACAATGAAAAGGATAGCGCATTCATTTGAGCCACACGCTAGAGATAAATGGCAAGGCGATGCCCGTGTAAGCAAGTAAAATCTGTTATTGGCCGGTCATAGAATTGATGGTTTTCTTAGATTTTCATGGGAAGTGTAAGAGATATTAAAATTAATTTTAATTACATATTTTATGAGATTTATAACTTTTCATCCATATATTTCATCAATTTCTAACCCTGAAGGGTTGGTCAATTGGTCAGATCTTGGGTTTGCTCTCTAATAATCACCGGTTCAAGCACTCTCAGGATCATTGAGATGAGTACCCGACCGTAAACTTCAGGACCTTGGGGGATTAGTTGAGGTGTGCGCAAACTGGCCCGAACATCCACGGTTACACAAAAAAAAAATAAAAAATTCATCAATTTCTAACAAAATTTACTAAAAATATAATTTTAATCTCTACGAAATGGAGTAACACATGCTATATATTGTGCTAAACTAATGCCACGTTTGTACAAGACAACATAGATAGATGTAAATGTTAGGAAAAATGAATGGATAAAACTGAATTTGCTATTGTTCCTATTCTTTAAAATTCGTTTATCCTTAAACCTATGTTTATTCATGCGTTCTTTTAATAAAATAATTTTATACATAAATTATATTTTTTTAAAAAATCTTATTTTTTAACTGTACATTTAAAAAAAATCGTATTCTAAAAAAATAAGCGCGGAAAGAAACCGTGTTTGTCCAGTTTGGCACAAAGTCTTTGGTTGTTAGCATTTAATTTTGTGAGTCCGACATGTGTAAAGTAGATTAGATCGACATGTCATGAATCATGATATGGGCAGCATCCAATAGTATTGGCCATTGGAGGGAGGATTGGATTTTTTGAGATAATATCATACTTGGTCCTCAACCTTTCAAAAATATATGTGATATATACTCACTTTTAAAAATAACACCAGACATCCCCAATGTAAGAGAAAATAGGCATGGTAGACCATTATGATAGAACCCATTAGTTTTTCCCATTATCTCACTCGAGTGCACCACACGTGTTATTTAACCCAAAATAAGTGCTTGAAATGAGAAGGGTAAAAGCATCAAATCACAAAAAAACCCTCTCCATTTTTTCCCACTATGTTATTATTATTTATTACTTTTGTTTTGACGTTAATTTTCTTGCAAGTCCGTATGATATTTTCTTGTCTTCTTCCTCATGTCTTATTGCAAATATCGCAAGGCGAGTATTGAAAATCAAAAAGGCTAAAGAAACAGGATCGGTGACCGACCCAAAAANAGCAGAACTCTTGAAAATTTCATAGATCTAAAAACTTCTTGGACTTGAGCAAACCTGATCGAGAGACTTAAATCTGAATAATGAGCCTAGCAAGACTTCCTCTTTTCAATTGAGTTAGATATTATCCATCCAAAGAGTAGTGTGTGATTAGACTAATAAGTTGCTCAATTGTATGTGATCAAACCGTACAACAATTCAAATCCCCCCCCCCCCCCCCCC